CATCACAGGCCTCAGCATAGCAAAGGGAAGGTATTCCCAGCCTACACTGTGGCAGTAATACAAAGCTTAACATCACAAAAATGGACGTTTATTCCTTGGCAGAATCTTAAGATCCAGAACAGCTGTATCTGGACAGTGAGGTATTTCCCCAAGAGAGGGCAATAACCTTGCTGGCTTCATGGTATAGACCCTTGCATCATCTCGGGCTGCTGAGCTGGTACAGATGCCAACTGCTCAGCCTATCAAGACAAGTAAATTACACACCATGAAAAGCAAACAACTCACATGCATCTCAAATCTTGCAACGTAATTAGGGCCAATTTTTCTGAAACTGTTTCTTCATTACACAACTTTTAAGGGAAGTGCCCTAAACAGCTCCAGTAAGAGGAACTCCCTTGAATTATAGGCAGTGTTACCTCCTCAGTTTGCATTCAGAGAGGCTGAGAAATCTTCCAGCATTTCTACTAAGAGATGGATTCCTGGGGAAGATTTCTGCAAGAGTTACCCTGTGGAATAGCAGCCAAGTAACAAGGATTCTGACTGAGAATCCTGATCCAAGAAATTGACTCAATTTGATTAAGTCCAAATAGCTTTATCTAAATCTAGATCAGGTGGTGGTGTTTATCCAGATGTAGAAAAGAAAGGCATTAAATCACCTCAGTCAAGCATGTTTAAAAAAAAAAAAGTGTGTTTTTCTACTAAAGATTCTTAAATAATTTTTGGAAGTGTTGTTGTGGTTGTCTTTAATTATTAAGAATAATTTCACTTTTGTTCTTAACGCGCCAATCTTCATTGGAACCTTATGCTGAGAACACCATTTATATATGGAAAACTGCTTGCTCTCAGACAACTGATCTCTAACAGCTGTAACTGAAATTCTGCAATAGGCATTTAATCCTTGCAGCACTGAAGTACCAGTTACTTGTGTAAGTTCACATTCGTAAAACTACGTCCTGGTTTCAGCCGAAACAGAGTTAACCTTCTTCGTAGCTGGTAATGGTGCTGGGCTTTGGAGCTAGGATGAGAATGATGCTGATAACACAACAATGTGTTAGCTGCTGCTGAGCAGTGCTTACAGTAAATCACAGACTTCTCAGCTTTTCATACTGCTAGAAAGGAAGCTATTCTGAACAGTGAAACTGGGGGGAGCTGGCTGGGGACTGCTGCTGCTCAGAAACTGGCTAGACATCACTTGCTTTTTTGTGTATTCTTTTATCACTGTTATTTTCCCTTCCTTTCCTGTCCTACAAAACTGCCCTTATCTCAGCCTCAGGTGCAGTGAGCTAACAACTGTGTGGCTCTTGGCTGCCTGTTGTGTTAAACCACAACAACCTCAGCTGAGTTTTCAAGAAAAACTTTTTGCATTCAGTACCTACCTCAGACTCATTTTACACATTTGTATTTTTTTTTTCCACCCAACTCAGGCACATTTCACTAGTTTATCTGCATGATAAATCTTAAGGACAAACACTGATGCAGAGTTCTGTGTGAGCAGGAATTTTTTATTACATTTAAGAGGCTTGTTATTCTGTTCTTCTTTTATTTCCAAAGGATAAACGGAGTTTAATCTCAGTGTGAGAGCAGAAATGTGTTTGCTTCCTTTCAGATCATTGGGACAGTAGAAACAGTAACACATTTATCTCTCCACCTAGTGGAAAACATGCAAGACATTTCTAGCTGCACTAGAGAAGCCTCTGGCTCCATCAGAACTGACACCTGGGGCAAGAACACAGGCATTTAAAAACTCCTCCAGGCAAAGCAGAAGTTTCTCTTGTAGCTGCATCCTTAAAACTACACAGATTTACATTTAGCCATAGGTAACGCTATGAGGCAATGAATGCTCTAAATTGGGATTCCTACCAAAAAATGTAAAGGTTCACATGGCATGTGTGCATCAGAGGGAGCACATCTTATAACCAGAGGTCAGTGTGACTGCATCACAAGGATAACTGATAAGAAAAATTAAATAGATAACTCTCCGAGTAGAACAAAAATCACCACAGTTTAAAATATTCACTTGAATTCCAGATCAGTGAAACAATGTTTAAAACTGGGCATGGTCCACTTGTTACATTTTTCTATTAAGAACATTTTCTAAGGTAAATATTCATTTCCATAATGAAATATTTGAAAATGGAAGTCGAATTGACTGAATGTCACCCTGAAACCATGTTAATCTCCCCCTCTATTTCTTCAGTACAGAATATTCTGAGATCAAGTTGACAACTTTCAGCACACTAATGAGAAGTAACCAGACAAAAAACAGAAACTGCAAATTTTGCACAGAATGCTGATATTTTGTCTTCATGTTCATAGATAATGCAGAGTGAGTTCTATATCTCCTTTGTCTAAATTTGCTGCAAGATTCGTACAGATGCTACAACTGTATTTAAAAAGTACATACATACTGAGAGGTCAACCTGAGAAAGTATATGGAAAGACTACAAAGCTGCTTTTTCCAGAAAAAAAAAGAATTCTTTTTTCATTACTATTTTTCCACACACAGTAAAGATAGCTGGCTGTTGACACAGACCATGCCAGTACTGCAAGGTATCAGCACATAAAACACACAACAGACTCAAAATACGCTTCCCAATGCCTATTTTAACACTACAGTGTGATAGAAAGTACAGTGATAATAGCAGGATAGCAAAGTCCCTAGCTACAACAAATGAGAACAAGCCCAAATGCAGCAGCCAGGTACACAGAAATGGAAGAAAGATTGCTTACCTTTAGAAGGCCTCAGATACACGCAGACACCTATGGAGACACTCTTGCCTTCACTGTCATAGAATGTCCCAAGTTGGAAGGGATCCATGAGGACCCCTTCCCAGTCTGACCCTCCTCTGTCACCAGAGAGCAGAAATCAGTGCCTGCTCTTCTATTCCCCCTCATGAGGAAGCCCTAGGCCACAATGAGGTCTTTCCTCAGCCTCCTCTTCTTCATGCTGAACAAACCAGGGGACCCTCTATGGCACTCAAAATTGAACACAGTGCTTGAGCTGAGGCCATGCTAGTGAAGCGCAGAGTGGAACAGTCACTTCCCTCAGCTAGCTGGCAGTGCTATGCCCAAGATATGACTGCCTTCCTGGCTACCAGGGCACACTGCTGGCTTATTTTCAATTTGCTGTTGACCAGGCCCCCTGGATCTCTTTCAGCAGGGCTGTTCTCCGGCATCTTATCCTGCAGTCTGCATGCATAACAAGGATTGCCCCTTCCCAGATGCAGAATCAGGCACTTGCTCTTCTTCAACTTCATGCAAATGGTGATTGCCCAGCTCTATATTTTGTCTACATCTCTCTGCAACGCCTCCCCATCCTTGTCATCAGCTCCTCCCAGTTTCGTATTGTCAGCAAACTTGCTCAAAACAGCTCCTAGCCCTACATCCATGGGATCATAGAATGGCTTAGGTTGGAGGGGCCCTTACATATCATCTCATTCCAACACTCTAAACACCAAAGTAATTTACGAAAATGTAAATGCTTCATAAAACTCATGTATCTATGTATTTTCTTTGCATATAATTCTTTTATTTAAAGGTTTTGGAACTAAACAGTAATATTTTTATTTTTTTTTTCCTGCTCTGTATCTCTTTAAGAAACTTGAAATTTTCAGTCCTCTGCATGTATTCAAAAAGACAAAAATAACTCTTCGGAGGGATTGTTAGGATCCAAATTAAAAGCCTAATTGGTGCCTATCATTCACAACTAATTATTTCTTCAAGCTGTGTCACTACAAGATAACCATAATTAGATCTTAGATGCAAGATATTAAAATTTAGTGTGAAAACTACTCCAACCTTCCTGCTTATCTATGTGAAAACATCAGTATTCCCAAATAAAAACCACTTGGTTTAAGAGAAAACAATATTTTTTTAAATTATCTATACCTAGCATCTAGAACACGCAACTACCATGCTGGTTTTAAGTATCTCACAATTTAACTCCAGTTTAAATTCATTCATGGTGGACAATCTAGTACCTGATTTAGTGTGTGCACAATTATGTTTTCTCGCTCCAAAACCTTACTGATCCTTCTCAGTAGTGTTTTAACATGGCAATCCAAAACAACGCCAACTTTTTTTACATGGCTCTACATTTCGTAAGTCTCCATCTCAACCTTATTCTATATGAAATGAGATATCCAGAAACTGTAGAACTCAGAAAATCCTCAGTTATGAAATATGAACTTCTTCATGTTTTGGAAGCATTAGAACCCTAAGAACACTTTTCTAGTTTTGTCTGCCTACTCCAACCAGATAATTTTGTAATCACAACTTATTCTACTTGTAAGTCCTTAGCAATCCATATTTAGCGCCTTTTTACTTCTACTTTATTTCATTGTCAAGACTGAGATAAATAGTGTACTCCTCAGCTGTCATTCATTTTCCAATCAAAACAGTGGGAATGTTTAACTTGTTTCATGTGAGGAAAAAAAAAAAAAATAAATAAAATAGAATGAATCCAGCAATTCTCTGACAAAATTTAGATAACATTTAACAATAAAGTGCTAAAACGTTAGCCAGACACAGGTCAAGATCTATTTCTCCTTTATCTTCCTGCCATTGTTTTTGTTTGTTTGTTTTTCCCCAGATATTGTAACCACTTTGATTTATTTAACAATAATGACATTATTTATAGTGTTTTAGGAGAAAGGGCAATAACATCAGCACGAATTACTGCATATCAAAGTTTCATGGAACTATTTAGGTGTATCAGGCCTGCAATTCAGTATTCTTCTATGCCTTAATAAATAAATTAATATACCTGTGCATTATCTTACACTGCTTCTCCTACTGTTACTTCACAGTTGTTGAGAACAATTAAGAAAAGTGAAAATATGGAATATTAGCAGATGGGTAGCTTCCAACTGCTGTTTCACTCTACTTTCCAAGTTTAGCTTTTGTCATTAACTTTTTTCAATCCTTTTCACATCATCTCTGTATCTGCAAACTCTTGAAGTCAGGAACTTAACAGTGTGACAAAGGCAGACTAAGCAAAAGCTGTTTAATATTTTCTATTTATGAGTAGAGTCCATCGATGAAATTTTAGCCATCGACTGAAGAACCTAAAAACAGGAGAACTGTCTTCCTTAACACTTTACTAAAAGAGAAAATAAAACACATTAGAAAAGTTCTTCAACTCAAATCAGGCACCTAAATTATCCTGTGGGGATCTGTCTCTTTTTACTCACTTTCAAGGGTGTACACAGTCTTTGAGGACAGAGAAGTGTAATACAGAGAAATACAGCAGGATAGTATTATTTCAGGCATTAGTCAATAGGTCCAATAACTCTAATCCTTTCAAAGATCTCCAGGGATCTTCAACAGGAATCTGAACAAGCTCCTGGGTGACCTGCTTCAGTGGGGCAGGGTATTTGGAGGAGACGACTTCCAGAGTTCTCTTCCGGCTTCAGCCATTCACTGAATTAGTTAATCAATAATGGAGCAGGTTAAGACAGTCAAGGGTTGCAAAAAGCCAACAGGCATCAGAGAGTTTACCAAGAAGCAGCAATCATATTGAAAAGTTGTTTTCCATAACTGAAGGATGTGTGCAATAGACCTTTTATCTTATGTTTTAATCTTCCATATACCTCGCATCTTCTTCCGTAGATACTAATTTATTTTCTGGGCCTTTCTGTGCTCTCAGAGAAGTCAGCAGATGGTGAAATTAAGTTCAACAGTAAAAAGGCATTACTTCTATCAGGTAAAGTGAGAAAACCTTTCTTCTTTTAGTTTGTTGGCTTTTACTTATGTGATACATACGGTGTAACAGTTTTTTTACTGATTCTTTCTCTCCTTCTCACTCCTTTCTTCTGTCTTCTCTTTTCCATACTTTTTCTAACTATCTCATTATCATCATATCATGAAATCTGTTACTCGCTGAATTTCATCAAAACGTTTAACTACAGAAAAGAAATCAATTTATTTTTAAAATGTCCTTTTGCTAAACATACTTAAAGAAATTAGGTTAAAAAATACATTCTGTGGACAAAGAATAGTTCCTCGTGCATCTGTGTTAAGAATAAGCAAGACAGAAAAACAAGAATCACAGAATCATCAACAATCCTATATTGGAAATAGTTCAGATGCAGCTGGTTTGGAAAACAGTGTAATTTAAACTCTTGGTAAGCTTGGATTCTAGTGCCACCTGCTGAAATAACAGCCAATACACAATTTAAATTCATCCACAGCATTAGAAAGCAGTGCATGAAGAAAGATCACAAAGAAGACGAATTGCTTGAGTAATCTAAATGCACATCCAGAGTGCCATACACGAAACCAAGTAAACTGAGAACCTTCTCTTGAATGATGTCAACCTGCTCTGAAGGGCAATAGTCATCCAGACTTGATCTGTAACAAAGATTTGAAAAAAGAATGAGAGAGTGTGCTAGTTTGCATTCAAGCAAATGATTATTTAAAGCACCGGTAGAAAAAAATGGAAAACACGCAAAAACCAAAAAAATTCAATTGCTGCTAGTTAAAATAGGAAAACTAAAATAAATGGGAAAACTAAAAGAAAAATCTGCACATTTCCTGGTATATAACATTTACCACTAACAAGTATTGCTAACAAAAGGCTGAGCTAACATTTCCACAACCTTAGATCTATCAAGACTTACATACATTTTTCTTTATTTCCTAATGAATTTTCCAACTCTGTGGCTGGCACAGGAAAAACAGCCTTCTATTATTTTAAGTATTAGCCACACTACTGTTCTTGACAAGAATTATTTCAAGTCAGATACTGGCATTGCTGCTTGTATTTTAGGGCATACTAAGTGTTCTTCAAATGAATAAGTTGCCATAACTTGTCAGTAGATACACTGTGGTCTTCAAATGAAATTCTCGGGACTGGATTTCTGACCCTGGCCTCAAACTCTGTTTTGTCCTCCCAAATAATTCCCTTGCAGTTCCAGAAGCACAAATTTTACTCTATGCAAAACACGATTAGATTTTTCTACAATATAAACACCTTTCAGACTATTAGATGAAAACTTGTCCCAGTTCCATCTGAAATTTCACTAGAAACAGAAATCTTATCTGAAGTGCAATTAATTGTAGACCAAGAGTGAGAAAGGCATAATATTTTAGCCCATGCAGGCTCTATCTTAACAGAAGCAGCGAAGATAATATGAACCACAATGTCAGCTATCCTCTGCGCCACACGAGGCTATACAAAGCCTCTATATAGCCTACAATGAAGGTTAAATCATCATGTCTTCACTACTGTTGACATCTGTGCTGGACATTCTGAAGCCCAGTAAGACTGGACATCGGCACAGAACCCTCCCTCAGCAGTACAGGTACTGTCACTGTCTAATGATTCATGCTTCCAAACGCCAATTTTTACTATGCTAAGATATTTTCCCTTGGATATAGAATTTCTTTAGAAGATAAGTTAACTGATGCCACAGTCATAGAATCATTTAGTTTTGCAAGAACAACCTGAATTTTTTTGAGTAAAAAAGAACCGATAGTCTTACCGAGCTACTGTCACAAGCGTGGGCTTTGGCATGTTTATCAGCAGAATCTTCATGGACTGTAAGAGGCCTTCAATCTCTTCTTTGGTGCTAACATGGTGGGGAAGTTCAACATAATCACAGGTCAGACCAGCCTGATGGACCTGCAGACAAATTAAACAGATTTTCATTTCTGTTGACAAATTGGTAATATAGCTTATCTCTGTAATAAATCCCTAAACTACTCCAGCCCAGCAGGTAACTTTCACATCTTCAGGCAGGAAGCTTTTCTTCAGTTAGTAGTTAAAAACAAAACAACCAGACCCTGGTGAAGTGAAACCTTACTTCACAGGAAACAGCTTGAGACATGAGAGTCCTGAAAGATCTTATTAACGTTGCAGAAGTATAGACAAGCAGAGTAAAATTTCAGAAGCTTTTAAAAAAGCTTGCCTAAGCAATAAGAATAAAAACAACAAAAAAAAACAAACAAAAACTTAAAATGTTTGAGTCAAGAAGCAAATCTAAAATTAAGCATGTCCTTTTCCCTGCTTGAGGAAGCTATACTTTTGAAATTAATTACTTTCTACCCCTTTACCCAGTGACCTACCATTTCATAGTCTGGGCTCTCCATTCTGCTTTTCAAACTGTGTACTAGTTGAACAAGTGGTTTCAATCTGGAGTTAAAAACACAACCAAAACTCACGTTAGCAGTTGGAAACATACATGTGCAAATTAAAAAAAATAACATAGAAGTTAACATGTTGCTCCTCTGTCATCTTGCACCTGAGAAAAATGGAGTACCAGTATCATGTGCTGTTTTAACAGATTTTCCTCAAGAAATCTCTTATCTATGCCACATACAACTTCTTTGCCTTTCTTTTATGGCAACCTAGAGAAAAGCTATTGCAACTCAAAAGTAGTGTACTATGGTAAGAAATGCTCCTGGTCATTGTTACGTGGTCTGGCAATAACTGATGTATGATTCTGTTTGCACTGCTGACTCTGCAAAGACAATTCAGTAGGTTAAGTCTGGAAGTCTCTTTGCAGCTCTACTTCTGCAACAGGTCAGGAATGAGAGCCTCATCTTCCGTGCTCCAGAAAGGCTCCCAGGGAAGGAGAGGTGGCATGAAAAATCTCACTGGTACTGGTAAGTGGTTTCTCTTATTGCAGTAAAGAGCTGAATCTTAGAAAGGGAAGGAAGATAGTAACAGCGAGTTCCACAGGAAAATCAAAACCTACCCCTACTAGTATGGAAATGGTAAAGGTCCTTCATGAGAGCTGACTTTAGCAGGAAAGAATCAACAAGAGGCTTATTTATTTGAAATGTCGTAATCTCAAAACTTACTTAAGCTGACCAGGAAGGGTTCCAATATGATGGTAATAAGGAAGAACACTTTACTGCTAACTGTGTCATCAGTTCAGGAAGATTCTTCTCCAAAGGCTACAGGAATAAACCAACGACGGGAGTGTTTAAGCCATTTAGAGATCTCCTACCCAGGATATGAAGCCCACTTCTGTAAGGTCTCTTCATCATCATTGTCACAAAAATCTGCAAACGCTGCTTCCAGATCTTCTAGCTGATGGACACGGTTTTCAACACAATCCAGCAAATCCTCCTTTAAATATGCGTGTAAAAAACAAAAGAGGTAAGAATGATTCTCCTAGCTAAATCATGGATTACACTACCAGTCAAGCTTTTAAATGGTTCATCTCGTGTAAAATGGGAAAACAACTAGTTCTTTGCTACAGGGCATCTCTCTTCAAGATGATCTGAATGACTGCCTGCAGAAATGAATTAGGTACCTTCTGAAACAACAACAACACAAAATACCACTTCTTTCTGCTCTGACTTTCCTATGAAAGACCACATCTATGTTCTAGCAGAATACGTTAAAGAGAACAAAAAAACTATATGATTAATTGCTGGATTTGTTTGTATAGCACTGAAATGCTGCCATATTTGATTAATTTATTATGAACATGCAGAAACTCAGATGAATGCAAGCTTTACACTCTTGTAATTTCAGGTTTAAAAAAATATTACTAAATAAAATAAATTAAAAAAAAAAAAAAAGAATTAGAAGAATTAGCTGAGGTTTTAAAGTTCTTTCAGGCCTGAAAGAATTTGGGATTAATTTAAAACGGTTGTTACAGCTGTGATCCAGCAAAAGTTTAGGCACTGTTGTAAAACACTCTGAGCACATGAAGAGGCTGTCTTCATTAAGAAGGGTTACATACATGCATGCATACAGTTGTGCATGTAAATATTGCAGGATACACAGCATATCAAGCAATGCTTAGCCTATTTGGTATAACAGATGCTCAGTGCAGTGGTATATGAAGGAAAATGATTAAAAAGCACATTGGTATAAATATAACAATTAAGAACATAGTTGTTCTCACTTTAGAGGCTGCTGCTTTTTGCCAGTGATGTCAACTTCATGTTAAATTTAAAGAAAAGCTAAGGGTGCTAACCATTCCTGAAGTACACCTTATGATCCTGGGGTATGACATCTTTCTATGCTGCACCAGTAATCAACCTTAAAGAGCCAATCCCTACGCTACTTAAGACAAAAACACAACAGTATTTTCTCTGACTGTAATAGTATCACAGAAATATAGATCCAATTGTACTACTAAATAAATAAAAGGCCAACTAGGCATTTAGCACAACTCTGTCTATAAAAGAGCAACCTGGGCAAGGAAAGGCAGACCCACAAAAGGGAGGGGGGAACAGAACACCAAAAAACCCTGTTGAACCTTGCAAAGAAACACAGTAGATTATATGTTTTCATTTCTACCTTGTCAATTACCATTTGTTTGCAATAATTAATTTTTACATTTGTGTTAAATATTTACACATATATTAAAACAGTGTTTAATACAAAAGAATTACTAAGACACTGCTGATTTGTGTTCAGCATACCGCATAGCTTAATTAAAGACTACTTCATTAAGCATCTTTCATACCTTCCTTCTTTATGCTAAGTCATTTTTACTGTGTAAATCAAAAGAATAATTCCCTCATGTATCTCACAAGAAGTATTATACCTCTGTTGCATTTCTGTGAGGTTTCTTGAACTTGTACAACTCCTGTAAGAGCTCATATTCTGTCTTTGAAACAGGAGAAAAAAAAATTAGTTTCTTCAAGTGGAAATCAAAAACTTCAGAGCACTGCACCTTTGAAAATCAGAACAAACTTGAACATAATAATTTCTCTACTCCAATACTGCAGATAAACAAATGTTATTATTCATTTAACAGCACTGAAAAGACGAACAGAAGACTTCTTCAGGAGTAGAAGAGGAAAGCGAGGGCAAACTAAGAAGTCATTGAATTTTACAGAAATATAAAGCATCCCTAGCAAAATATTTTGGATTTTTTTTTTATGTGTGTAAAGAGAACAGCCTTCTGAATTCACAAGCCGTATTTGCTTTTTAGTTTTTCCTTGGGTTCTTATATTCCAAGTGTGAACTTGAGCAACACGCTCTGATAGAATGACTGCATTTTACAATAGAGGGAACACAGTTAAGAAATGTTAATGGTAAATTAAATTCTTATCAGTAAAGGTATACTTGGAGTTCTGTGCAAGCCCACTTCCAAAAGTGGTTCCTAGAACTTAGCACAGTACAAGAAAATAAAAACCACCTCCCAAATAAACAAATCTACCAACAAAAATCTTTCTATGGCTTTATGCAGAACGATTTGTAAGGCCTCAGAGGGGTCTTATATGACAAGATCCCCATGGTGCTTCTGCTTTGCTTTATGCTTCCTTTGTGATTCTAAATCCTAAATCATTAGTGTTGCTGATAGTCTGATGGTAACATGAGTAAAGACTCAATGTCAGAAGCTAACAGAGATGAGGACTGCTGTATTTATTTCTACACAGTGAACAAGGAAGTGGTGTGGTATTCTAGCTGAAGCTCAGAGATGTCAGATGTTCCCCAGCATAGGCTGAGATTAAAGTACCATTAAAGAAAAGCTCAGCCACCACAAACAGTTGTGATATTGCAGAAGAATTTGTAAATTGTAAATCTTTAAAAAAGAATTTGCATTTAGTGTTACATGTTATCTTCAGGGCAGATTAGCTAGTTCCTAAAAATCATGTTCACATCAAGAAAGCTTCCTAACTGCTCAGCAACTCTGAGAATCTACATATTTATAACACTGTACAAGACAGGTATCTTTTGTGTACAGTCAAGTTATAAACTGAACATAAGGCATAGTTTTGAGCTCAGAGCCACGGCACCAGAGACAAAAGCTGCTTGTTCATTAGCCCAGTCAAAGCAAATGATGTACAGTCTCTGGTCGAGAGGAGTCACCACTCTTTGAATAATCAGCACCGTGATATCCTTTGGACAGTCAGCCTCTGATACCATTGTGGCCTTCTAAAAACATGTTATGGGAAAGGGTGAAGAGTACAATCTCTCACCTCTCCCCGATTAATCCTGATGCAAGTATTTGGAACATTACCTGTAGAAAACCAAGCATGGCTTTTATGTTCTATACAACACACAGGGGTATGCCATGTATCTCTAAGCTTGAATGTGCACTGAATATCCATTTCAAATGTAAGGACCTAGTCCTGCTAGGTTGCTTTGCTTTGGAGTATATGCTCCCTTTCTACTGTCTCCCTCTCAAATATTAGTATGATTCATTAGTTATGACCAGCTGATCCACTAATTTATCTTAGAAGAGAGTTCCTCCATAGACATCAAGTGCTAGAAAGATGAGTACTCTTCTATGAATGGTAAGGGAAGTCTCCACTGCCATACTTACCTTTGTGTACATTTCTTTAAATGGATTCTTAACTGAAAAAAAATCTAAGTCAATGTCTAAAACAAATGCATCCCCATTCTGAAGAACTTGGGAGATATCTTTAGCAACCTCCCTTACTGGACATTCATTGTTTCTTAGGGAGCTTGAAGCTGAGCATTCTGGCAACGTTTTTGCTCTGTTCAGGGCACCTGCATGTTGTACTTCCTTGTCCTTCACACTTGAGAAGTTGTTATCGTGGTCACCAGGAGCCACTGATGAAGAGGTAGCAGCAGTGCTTGCTGTGTCATCTGTATTTAGCTTCAGTCTCTTAGCGGATGCTACTTTGTCATTTTCTTCCTGGCTGTTTGATGCTTCAGTAGGATTAATGAGGACGACATGTAAATTTAAAGGCTTTGGATTTTCTAGCTGATCAGCGGGGACATAAAGACCATCACTTAAAAAGTAATGATCTGTACCTGTAACCCTACAATAGACAATAACTCACAGTTAATACACGTCTTTGTAAAAAGCTTTGCAAATAAGTCGCCAAAAGAAAAATAAATTCACGTTTGATAGGTAGCAAAAGCAATAAAACTGTGTATACAAAATTATTTACTTTAATCTGCAAGTGTTTAAATGGGATTTTTTTTCTATCTCTTCAATGCTAAATCAATGTATTAAAATTCATTCTGGAATTTTGATAGTAGTCCTGTAAGTTTTTAGTGGGTAAGAAAGATCTATGTTATGCTCTACTAAGATTAACGTGCCAATGAATTGTATCTTACATCAAGAATTTGACAAGACACAATCAGTTTTATGGGATAATAATGCAAAGCACTGGATATTTTGCCTTCAATCACTTTTTTCTTTGTGAGGAAAATCGTTACGGTTGCATTTGAGAAGTGCTCTGGAACCCACAGATGTCAATAAAACACGGATTAATACACAGCATTTAACTGCTTTTTACCCTGAAATATGAACCCTTATTCTAAGTGTGAGGAGAGCAGGTAACAAGGATGAATAGCTACATATCCACAGAATCCACTTAATTTATAAACTGAAACAACAACAAAAACAACCCAAAACCTAGAGTTCACTTATAGCAAAAAAAAAAAAATACTGTTTTCAAGCCATATTTCAACACATTAAGCCTTACATGCCATAAATTCACAGAATCACGGAATGGCCAGAGTTGGAAGGGACCTCAAGGATCATGAATCTCCAACCCCCTGCCACATGCAGGGCCACCAACCTCCCCATTTAAATCTAGACCAGGCTGCCCAGGGCCCCATCCAATCTGGCCTTGAACACCTCTAGGGATGGGGCATCCACAACCTCTCTGGGCAGCCTGTTCCAGCACCTCACCACTCTCTCTGTAAAGAACTTCCCCCTGACATCCAATCTAAATCTTCCCTCCCTCAACTGAAAACCGTTTCCCCTTGTCCTGCAGTTATCAACCCTTTCAAAGAGTTGATTCCCCTCCTCTTTGTAGGCTCCCTTTAGGTACTGAAATGCTGCAATGAGGTCACCCTGCAGCCTTCTTTTCTCCAGGCTGAACAAGCCCAGCTCCCTCAGCCTGCCGTTGTAGGGGAGGTGCTCCAGTCCCCTGATCATCTTTGTGGCTCTCCTCTGGACCCTCTCCAACAGCTCCCTGTCTTTTTTGTACTGGGGGCTCCAGACCTGGACACAGTACTCCAGATGGGGCCTCACAAGAGCAGAGTAGAGGGGGACAATCACCTCCCTGTCCCTGCTGACCACCCCACTCTTCTGATGCAGCCCAGGATACCATTTGCTTTCTGAGCTGCAAGAGCACACTGCGGGCTCACGTTAAGCTTTTCATTCATCAAGACCCCCAGGTCCTTCTCTGCAGGGCTGCTCCCAAGGACTACTCCTTCCAGTCTGTATGAATGCTAGGGATTCCTCTGGCCCAAGTGCAAAACCTTCAATTCAGATTAAAGAAATAACGTTGAGAGGAAATGTGAACTTCTATGCACTTGTGTTAAGGCCCCTATCAATTACAGGGTATCACCATCCATCTGCCACATTCAAATAATTTCAGATACAGCAGAAACCTGAAGTTCAGTTACCCAGTGTTGGCATCCTGAGGGGCCTAAGGCAACCCAGAGAAATAGCCTACAGGAATCTCATTACATTGAACTAACATAAAGAAAAGGTCTTGCATTTGGGACAGAATAACATCATGCAGCAGTACCAGCTTGGCACACACCAGCAGGATGCTACAGAAGAGGAATGGTCAGTCGAAGTATAAAGCAAAGTGAGTGCAACCAATCCATACAAGCCTACAATGATAAAGACTAATTGCAAAATTTCATGTACTAGCAAACCCATAACGAAAAGAGAGATTTCATCTTGTATTTAGCACCACTGAGGTCTCATTGGACATATTCCGCCAAGGTCTGGACCCCTAGAACATGTGAGATGTCAACAAACTGAGAGGATCTAACAGAGAATGGCTAAGGAAGTTAGAGGGCTGGATGGAGCATATGACAAGGGGAAGTTGAACAAGTGGGCTTGTTTCATCTTGATAAGGGACATCTGAGGAGAATCTAAGTGCCCAATCCTCCAAAAAAAAAAACCAAAACTTTTTTCTAAGATTTTCATTTTATCAAAGAGAATTAATTGAAAACTTGGCTGAATGCAAAGAAGTGTAAATAACTTGAATTACCATTTTTTTTTTTTTTTTTAAAAAAAAAAGAGATTAAGGCACAACTTAAGCTGTACCTCTTAAAACAAACAATCACATGACACCCCAAAACATTAACAAATACAAACTGAATTTTCATTGAGAAAAGAAGATGTATCACTATATTAATTCGAGAATACAAAATACATGGCACATAGCTTTTATGTTCCCAGAACTGGATAACAAACAATTTACCTGATTGTAGTTGTTGATATGTCTTTCCCAACTAAAAAATTGTGTTCTCCCTCTGAGATTTGCTGAGCCCACGGTGGGTGAAGCCACACCACTTGAGAAATATGGCCAGCATAAACAGCAGGCATAATCCAGTTCTCAATACTTAGCTCACTGTAATGATGAGAGAAAGACTGGCAATAACACTTACTTTACCAGCAAGTAAAACATTGTCAAGAACAGCACAAACACCCCCATGCAAATCATCCGAAGTTAACATTCTGTGTACAGGTCATACCACCAAAGAAAAGAGAAAAGATTGAAATCTTGATTTGTAAGAAGAACCAAAAATGTATATGAAAAAAATTAAAAAATACTAATCAATTGGATTATGAAGTGCAGTCAGCTTCACTCTTAGCATGGTTCTTTATTAACTACATGGACTTCTTGTCTTTCTCTCTGAATATACCTGACAGAGTAGAACTGCAAGGTGCATCATGAACTCCATTCCACATAATTGACCCCAAGGGAGTATCTTATGGCGTGTTGCTCTAAGCAGACTTCAAATATAACCTCAGTGGTGAATGTGAGCCAATCAGCACCTACAGAATAGCATCTGTTCTTATCATCCTATTTTTTCATGTATAGTCCACAAGGCTTCTCGTTCATCAGCAAAGAAAACTAAATATGGACCATGGGCAGGGTGACACAATTGCTAATATATTGATTATCTCCTCTTCTCACTGCTGTGTACGAGTGTAACACAGGAACAATCAATATTTTTAAATAGGAAACAATAGACAAAAACAGATCACCCCTGTTCCCCACTTGAGCAGATCGGGATAAACATTGGTCTTAATTATCATATTCAACTTCACAGATGCACCAGGTCAGCAAAAGAAATGTTATTTTAATCTCAGTCAATTTGTCACCATTAAGAGAGAAAAGCTGTTCTAAAACCTGCAGTTCACTGAAAAGCATCCATTTGGAGTGCTGTCCTGCCACTCAGAGGAACTGCCCAGTCTGATAATGTGAACTAAAAGTAAATTAATTAAGTTTTAACATCTTCCTAATATGCAACATAAACATTTGACCACATTCAAAAAAGAAACGTAACTTCTTCTTCTATCCACAGCTATGAAGTTTTGAACAGAAAATAAAAAAAATACAACATGCGGCTGATTTACACATCTGTTGCTCATATTTCATATGCAGTTGTATCAATATTCAACATAAAGCAAGTATAGCCAGAAGTGGACAATGTATTCTGATGCAGTACAAGAGACTTACTTAAAAAGTGCTTCTTTGTCAAACACGGTATCTGCAGGCATATTCACAGGGATAAGGAGGTCTGGGTGGGAATCAAGGTGAACAAAGCTGATGTTACTGGCAGGCAGATGCTTTGAACCAATCGCACGATAGATGAAAGGCAGCACCTAAAAGAGCACATATTTCCACTGTAACCAATGAGACAGGTATAAGAGCAGAAACACCAGTCCCACTCACACTCCCTTAGAATTTGGGTTATATGTTGAAAGAGAAAGGAGACAGCAAACAATACAGAGAGGAAGCAATTTTAGTTCACGAGGCACAATCATTGAGCCCTGGAGCTCTACACACGTGAAGCTGTCAGATTATGCTTCTACTTCCTTTCCTTCTTTATAAGGCACTGTGTTTGCAGCAACTCTTCTCACTGATCAGCTCCATGACTAGACGCTTGCTGTTGTTGGGTTTTATCATAGTCATTGAACGGGTTGAGTTGGAATGGTCCCAGCCACAAGCCTGTGCTGTGGTCAGGGCTGCCAGCACCAGCTCAGTTGCTCTGGGCCCCATCCAACCTTGAGCACTGGCAGGGATGGGGCACCACAGCTTCTCCGGGCAGCTATGCCAGCACCTCACTGCCCTGTGAGAGAAGAAAACTGAACAACAGATAATTTAACCTATCCACCTTCAAAGAAGAGGTTTAACTCCTGATGCCCACACGACTTGACTTGGACGTGCTTTTCCCACTGCCCAACCTCATCCTTTGCTGGAGGTCTCCACTCAAGAGCTGCAGCCAGTGGAGCTTCCCTCTGTTCAAGGGCAACGACTTTCCCGGCCGCCAGAACAAAGCCACAAAAAGGCTGGCTAAGAAAACGACACGCTGTCTCCACATATCTCCAGACGAAAACAGAACGCGAGCTGACTGCACCATCGCCACCTCCCCCCGCAAGCCCGGCGCTCTGCCTGACGCCGCCACTCACGTCCTGGTGGTCCTCCACCACCCACACCGGCAGCGCACGGTACGACCGCAGCCCCCCGCCGCTGGGCCGGGGCCCGCATGCAGCCGCAGCGCCGCTCATGGCGGGCGGGGCGGTGCTTCCTGCGGCATTGCGCCCGCCCTGCGCTTTCCTCTTCCGGAGCAGCGGGCAGGACTGGCCGCGGCCGTGCGGCGGTAGGTGGGATGGGTTGCGTGCCGGGGGTCTGAGGGTGGGCAGAGAGCTTGGACAGCGGGCTGTGGTCCGAGTTCGGGTGTTGAGCTGCCCTGCTGTCTGTGGGCCTGGAGGAGGGGAAGGCTGTGCTTTGGTGCTCTGTGTGGTAGGAGGAAAGGGGCTCTATCTGTTATTCTGGGTATTTAGCAGCTATGGAAGTACTGGAGCCAAAATGGTTCTCTGGCTGTCCGGGGAAACCTCGTTATGGCCTTCCAGTATTTGAAGGGAGAGTATAAAGAGGGCTGGGAATGGCTGTTTTACAAGGGTCAATAGTGATAGGACGAAGGGGAATGGTTTTAAATTGACACGGGGAGGTTTGGGTTAGATATTAGGAGGAAGTTTTTCACTCAGAGGGTGGTGATGCACTGGAACAGGTTGCCCAAGGAGGTTGTGGATGCCCCATCCCTGGAGGCATTCAAGGCCAGGCTGGATGTGGCTCTGGGCAGCCTGGTCTGCTGGTTGGTGACCCTGCACATAGCAGCGGGGTCAACCCAGACCATTCTATGATTCTATGAACTGTTAGTTTTCTTGAGAGCCTTTATAGAAGCAAGGATGCTGGAGAGGCACTGCTGTCTGGAAGGGAAAAATAGATTTACCACTGTGGCTGCTGCTTCCTAGAAATTCAGCTTTCCCTTGGCCTCTGTTCCCTTTGAAAAGGGAACAAATCCCATCACCAGGACCAATTGATAGGCCAAGGGGGAAAGGCTTTAAACCTAAAGAGAGAAGATTTATGTTGGGTCTTAGGGAGGAAATGCTTCACTCCTAGGGCAGTGAGGCACTGCCACAGCTGCCCAGAGAAGCTGTGGGTGTCTCATGTTTGGAGATGTTCAAACCGGGTTGGACGGGGTCCTGGGCAGCCTGGCTGGTATTGGCAGCCCTGTCCATAGTAGAGGGGTTGGAACTAGGCAGTCTTTGAGGATGCTTCCAACCCAAGCCGTTCTGTGATCTTTTATGAAAACAAGGCTTGACTTATGTGACTACTTAACTGTTTAACTTTTCTCTCCATTTCAAGGAAAACATCATGACATCTGCTCATAGGCATGATTTAATGGAGGGTTGTTAGGGTAGTTTGATTAGGTTGTGGTTGGACTTGAAGACTTTAAGGTCTATTCCAACCTGAGCAATTACGTGATTCTATGAGTGGTTTTTTTTTGTGTTTTTTTTTTTTAAACTTTATTTTACTTTCTTCTTTTTTTTTCCTCTGCAGGTTTTAATTAATTAGGAATTTTAATTAAAGAATGAACTTTAACTTTTATGAAGCAAAGTAGTTTTCATTTGTCAGTTAATACAGTGCATTACATATGTGCATAGTTTCGAACACAACTTCAGCCTACTTGAAGCAGTGGCAATTACTGGTAAGATAAGAATTCAATTTTCGAACTTTTGGAACTGTTTATTTCAATTACATTAGAGTAACAATGCAGCCTACACTGAAATTTTTTTTGTGACTGTTAGATTCTCATCTTACAAAAAGACCTTTGCCTAACTTAAAGTATTGCAAAACATCTGTTGAATTTGTCCCTGTGATAAACTGGGGTGAAAATCATGAATGTTAGTTGCTGCTTAGCTTATTTAAAATGTGTATGATTTGTAGGACCAGGTGACTTGTGATGAGGTGTCAGAAAAGTCTTCCTACCTGAACTCTAGAATGGTGTGCTAGAAAGATCTCCTCATTTTAGGACCTGGGTGACTGTTGAAGATGCTAACATGATTGGTTTTTATGGTGATACAGGGTATCTGAAGTCTTTATACTGATGTATCTGGTATATACTAGTGGAGTTGCTAGCAACCATAGCCTGTCCTTGCAGTCACCTGTTAAAATTAACTTTGTCCTAAGTCAGAGACCATGTCCAGTTGGAGTGCTGGATTAAAGACTATTGGTAAACTACTGTAGTGGATTAAAGACTTAAAGAAATCAGAGGGCCATAATGACCTGTACTAGAGCTCTGAAAAGTTACAGCTTCCACTGAAAGACTGCCATCTTCTGCTTCTATTAAAGGAAATGACAGAAACTAATTTCGCTATTTCAGGAATAGTTCTTGCAAATATAAATAGTTCTTGCAAATATACTGAGGGCCTTCTACAAAGGTTTGTACAATTAACTTTTATATTTTCCTCATTAAAGGTGAACCATGTCTTTTCATTCTGGACGAGGATGTCCCCGTGGGCAGGGGGGACCAGGAGCAAGAACTTCAGCACAGACTTATCGTCCTCAGAACCTGCGGCAGCTTCACCCCCAACAGCCCTCTGTACAGTACCAGTATGACCAACAAGCTGCACCTTCAGCTACCTATTCAAACCCTTCAGCCACCAGTTACATGCCTCCCAGGCCAGACTTTGTTCCATATCCCCCACCGGTTCCCCCTTCCACACAAAATCCCATTAACCAATGTCCCATGAGGCCACCATTTCCAAACCATCAGATGAGGCAGAGCTTCCCAGTGCCTCCATGCTTCCCTCCCGCTCCTCCACCAGTGCCAGCCCCTAGCAGTGCTCCTGTACCAGCAACTCCTACTGGACAGAGCACCTTTCCATACATGATGCCTCCTCCCGCAGTACCCCATCCTCCCCCACCACCAGTCATACCACAGCAAGTCAACTACCAACCTGTGTATTCCACAGGGTATTCCCAACAGTCATTCCCACCACCTAACTTCAATAGCTATCAGCACAGCTCTGGCTCCTTTCAGAGCAGCACTACCAGTAGCAGCAGCAGCAGCAGCAGCAGCCATTTTCGGCACACGGGTCAGTACCAGGGAGAAAAATCACAAAGTGATCGACGATCTCCGGAGAGGAGCAAGCACTACGACGAGCACCGGCATCGTGAGCACAGTCACATCCACGGTGACAGGCATCGGTCCAATAACCACGGGGATCGTCGGGATCGAGGCCGCAGTCCTGACAGGAGGAGGCAGGAAAGCAGTCGGCACCGGACAGAGTATGACAGAGGAAGAATGTCACCTCATCATAGAAGTTATGAGCGTAGCAGGTAGAGAGATACTTTCTGCTTGCAGTGGGAGAGGTGTGGTGGTTGTTCTGTGGTCTATGAATCTGTGTTTTTCGCTCCCCCTTGCTTTCCGTTCCACTGTGGGACATAGCCAGTGCTCGGCTCTGGTGGAAGGAGCTGCTCTTGTGCTGTGTTTCAGATATGTTCTTTCTGCTTCACCTTTGCAGACTGGCACACTTGGCCCCTTATCCTTGAAAACAGAGTGGGTTGCTGAGCAGTACTCTGACCTTATTGGGATTTACCTAGAAGTTTATGTTTATGTGGCTTGATTCAGGTAGATGAGTGCGGAGTGCTCATTTTGGGATGTGTTTTGAAGTTTCTGTCCCTCTGCTTTACAGATAGAATCAGACTGAGAGCTATGAGCTGACCTTGCACAGTTTGCTGTGTGGTATTCTAGAGCAAACCATCAATTTGTTTGCTCTTTTTGTCTATGATCTGTGTGAGAGTTCACAGAGATACTTTGCAAGTAGAGTTTATCGGGGCAGCTGGATCACATGCTTCTAATTTTGGAAGACCTGGTGTTTTCAAGTGTAATATGAATTTATACTTAGTGTCTGTCATAATGAAACTACTTGGATTTTGAAATGCAGAAATTTTACAACACCTGTATTAGAAACACAAAGACAGCAACAACAAACAGACAGAAAAAAGCACGCGCATGTACTAAGTGTAGTTCGATTTGGTTGATCTTAATCTGATTTCCAAAAAAAAAAAAAAAAACAAAAGGATTTTCCCTAAGACTTTTTTGTATGATAAGCATGTGGAATTTTCAGTGCTTTATGGATGACCCAGATACCCAGATGTTTGCCACATAATTTCACAGTTTACAGTTTGGATTGAAAAATTCAGTTTTAAGTTTTGAAAGTATGTATTTCCAGCAGCTTCCTTCTCAGAGATTGGCCTGGTATTTATTGGAGACCACAGTTTCTAGATCTAACCTACAATGTATCTGTTTATTGTAAAGGCAGTTCTTTCCCTGCCTTGGTTTTTCTTTTTGCACAGCATCAATCTCTCAAGCAAATCAGAGGGCAGTAGGATATACAGTATACCTACACTTGAGCAAGAATGAGCGGGTGTAGAGAAGACCAATAGATAAATTATATGAACTCTGTGCTTTGTAAAATTGCATGTTATTTCATGCATATGCATATGGAAACATGCATATATTCATAAACGATGCATCATTGCAACAGCCCACGGAACTACCTGACGTATGTATGTATGATCCCTTGTATATCAGCAGACTCTTTTACTAGGAAGTGTGACAGTTACACATATGATTGTAGAATAACAAATTGTCAGCTGTTAGTCTGGAAACGTGCCAGAGTGTGATATCTCCGACACTTAACGTACCCAGTAATTCCTGCTAAACTTCAGAGAATCACAGAACGGCTTGGGTTTGGAGGGACCCCAAGGATCCTGAAGCTCCAACCCCAGTTCACTGTGTTATGTGCAAGCTGAGTCTTGTAGGTGAGAGTCATGGTTTTGTTGTGATACAGACCTTTTTTTTTGTATGTGTGTGTGTGTCTGTCAGGAGTAAAGGGCTTGCCTGAAATACTTGAGTTACTGCTGTACTTCCAAAGTTGTGTGTGGAATAGGATATTGTTCCATGCCTTGAGGCATGAAGAGTGGTTAAAGGTGTAATAATCTTACCCTTCTCTGTTTGTCACCGAAGAACAGGAAGAATGACAATAAGTGCTGTGGTGAATGTCTCAAAGATACCTCTGTGTTGTTTGAATTTAAGTATTGTTGATATGGATGACTTTATTAACTGTCATGTCATTCAGAATAACATGATTTCAGTTTGCTTCTATATCCCTTTCAGGCGTGCAACATATGAAAGTGCCAGATTTCTCATTTAATT